GAAGATGTAGATACCATAATGTTTCACTAACAGAAAGACTGTGGAATGATCTTGCAGAATTGAAAACTCTTCTTTACACCATATATAGCCACAAAAAACCTCCAATCTGAAGAATTGACAGGAGACGAGAATGGAAGAATGTGATGTCTGTTCTTTCTGATTGGAGGGTTTATTGCAGAAGGAATCATCAATGAAGAAAAGAGAAACTAGTTTGCTAGACAATGAGATTTTGCTGGGTTCAATATATGTAGATCCGAAACACCGAATTTTCTTGGATGACGAACAAATTAAAAAGGCAAATAAAGCCATCTATAAACTTTCATTAAGAATGAAATTATTCTCAGAACAATTGGAGAATTTGAATCAGAACAGTCAAACTGCAGACATTGCAATTGAGTCTCTATCATACTCTTCCACTGATGAGTTAGATTTTGAGAAATATTTTTGGATAATATTGAAAGGACTAAGGCAAAGCGAATGAAACTAAAGAGCCTTTAGATATAAAAATGAAAAAATACACAAACAAGATTTCTACATGGCCTTTGAAGAACTAGAGAAATAAGATTGCGCTTGCAATATATACCTCTTTTAGAACTTATAAAAATCTGTCCTGAAAAGTTAAAAGAAGTACTTCTAACAGTAACAGCTCTTCCTTCTACTCAAGTTAGTATGGAAAGTCTCTTCTCAGCTCTGAATTTTATCAAATCAGATCTATGGCCCTCCAACTTCGTCGACAAAATTTTCTTGCCGAAGCTATACTGTTTCTTAGAAATAACTAATGCCAGTTTTTTTTTTCAGAATAAATGCTAATTAATATAAATAATTTGTTATGACATCAATTTTTTTTCTGTAGCATCTATTACTTCTTTTATATTTAAAAAATAAGCTGTAACCCATGTGTATATGTTTGCGCACACACACATATATACAGTGGTGGCCAAAATTGTGGACACTTTTGAAAATTTTTATGTTTTTTAACTTTGTATGCTTATAGAAAATGTTACGTTTTGCAAAATGCAAACTTGTATATATCATTTTAAAGAGAATTTATTACTGAATTCAATACAAAACACAACATTCAATTATTTGCAATAAAAAAAACGTTATATGTACTTTAATATAAATAAAAAACACAGTTATGAAGTGGTTTGTAATGTCTAGCTTTCCTGGCCAATCACTGTTCTTGTTCTGAGAACCAATCAAATGTTAGTAACTGCCAGTAGAAGCTGACATCATGTTTACACTTGAAACAATTCGTTATTTTGCTTTGTTCTGTAGAAGGAGGACTTGTTTCTTATACACTGCAATTACAAGTAGGAATTTTTGTAAAAACTTTTAATATTTAGTCAAGAAGCAATGGCATCAAGTAAAAGAGTAGATTGGACACCTAGAAAGAGATGTAATATTATTGTGTTACGAGAAAGTGGTCTTTCCTATGCTGAAATTGCAAGACGGGTGGTTCAGTGACTACATCTGGAGTCCGAAAGTTTTGTTTACAATATCAGGAGACAAATTCAATAAAAAACAAAGAAGGACAAGGCCAAAAAAGGTGCACCACATCTATTGATGACAGAAGAATATAAAGACTGTGTCTCCAAGATAGAAAAATGTCATCAGCGGCCATCTGAAGTGATCTGAACGATGCTGGTGTTTCTGTCAGTTCAAGAACAATCAGGAGAAGATTAACAGATGTTGGACTGAGAAGAAGAATTTCACGAAAACAGCCTTATCTTAATTTTCAGCAACGAAAAAAAAAGAAAAAAAGACTACAGTGGGCAAAGGAACACATTAATTGGACAGATGATCAGTGGTCACAAGTTATATGGAGTGATGAAACTAAGATACCGTTATTCGGTAGTGATGGGTGAAAATATGTAAGACGTAGAATAGGAGAAGAACTACATCCTGACTGCATTCAAGCAACTTTCAAGAACCCAGTTAATATTATGATTTGGTCATGCATGTCAGCAGATGGTATTGGTCGCCTTCATGTCATCGATGGGACACTGAATGCCAGAAAATACATTGACACTAATCTAGAACCAAAACTTCTACCTTCCATCAGAGATCTCTTTCCCAACAATGCTTCGTTTATTTTTCAGCAGGATTCTGCACCTTGCCACACGACCAAAATATCGAAAGAGTAGTTTCGTACAAAGAGCATTAAATTGTTGTCATGGCCAGGAAACAGTCCTGACCTCAATCCTATTGAAAATTTGTGGCACCGTTTGAAAACTCTTGTCCGAATGAGGTGCCCATCAAATAAAAAGGAACTAATTGAGGCTATAATTGTTTCCTGGCATCATGCAATAACGAAAGAAGAGCTTAAAACTCTTGTTGGCTCAATGAAACGTTGATGTGAAGCTGTAATCCAAAATAAAGGGTACCCTACTAATTACTGAGAACTCACTGCAATCATCACTATCTAATGTATATCGATAACTATTATCGTTTAACTTTTTTTGTATTGCAAATAATTGAATTTTATGTTTTGTATTGAATTCAGTAATAAATTCTCTTTAAAATGATATATACAAGTTTACATTTTGTGAAACGTAATGTTTTCTATAAGTATACAAAGTTCAAAAACATAAAAATTTCCAAAGGTGTCCACAATTTTGGCCACCACTGTATATGAGGGAGTCGGAGTCGGTCATTTTCCCTACCGACTCCACAGCCCTGATTAGTATACAAAAGAAATAAGTAATACAGATGTAACAGACAGGCTAGACAAAGTCACCTTGTAGGTTGAAACAAGTGTCCCAGCGGTTAACGAGACGATGGATACCCTGGGTGAAGAAGCTCAGGGTTTGGCTGTATAACCAATTTTCAATGGCAGCTTGAACCTCATTATCGTCAGCAAATCACCATCCCTTCAGAGATTTCTTGAGTGGACCAAAGATGTGATAGTCACAGAGGTCTTAAGTGTGATGTTCGAGAACCTCCCAGCGGAATTGCCATAACGTTTGGCATGCCATAGCCACATAAGGATGAGCATTATCATGCAAGATGATAACCCTGCGCAACAGCATGCCACATCGGTGGTTTTTTAAATTCTGTTTCTGCAATGTGGCAGCAGTGACAGTCATGCCCGTAGTAGCTATTCCAACAGTAGTGGGCCATCGACATCAAAGAAGCACATTAACATGACTTTACCAGCTCTAGTGGACGTACGAGCCTTAGCTGGGTGTGGGATGAAGAGTGTCACCATTCCATGCTCATGCTGGCTGAATCAAAGTGATGGTTTCATCAGCGGCAATGATCCTTGAAAGGAATTAGTTCCCCATTTCGTGGTACCACATAAGGCGTTACATGGAAACAGACATGCAATGAATCTTCTGCTCCTCTATTAAATGTTTTGACACCCATTGCGCACAAACTTTGCGGTATTGCAACTTTTCAGGCAGTACTGTGTGCACACTTCCTATGCTCATAGACACTTCTTCCACTATTCACTGATTCATTTTCACGAGACGGTCGCATCTGCAACTGCTTGATGGGTGATCACCGCATGCGCTTGACCAGGTCGCCTGTCATCAGTATATGCTTCTTCCATTATGAAATCCTTACACCATCGGAATACCGATCTGCGTTTCATACATTTCATGCCATACACATTTTGCATTCAATGGTAGATTTCAGAAGCGCTTGCATTTTCTGTTGTTAAAAATTGCACAACCACGCTTTCACAATCTTAGGAGGCATCCATGATGCGAAAAATGCCTTTTAATGTGTTCCGGTGCTAACACATGCATCTGGCGGGATATGACGATATTGCCTGCACTCCCAGCACTATGCCCTCTATAGGCAAATGTGCAGTCATCTTTCTCTTTAAATGGCAGAGTTATTACAGCAATGCCACTTTTATTTAAATGACCCTTATAAAAGATTCACTTCACCTTACTTTCTTCTGAAGGTAGTCCAAAATCCTGAAGAACACTTTTTACAGTATTGTATTGTGGCATTCTACAGGTTCGCGGATTTGGAGTAATTTATGATAACTTTTGATGAAGAATCAAAACACAGTTCATTCGCCAGTATTACACAGGAGAATTTTCCAAAGACACGTTTACAGTCGGCAAAAATCTATGATAAATCACTGAACAATCAGCGAGCCAGCCTTCAGGCTACAACGGAGGAGATAGCTTCATGGCAAAGCACCAAATTTGGCATCCGACTTGGTTCGGTCGTTTTCAAGCTGATCTCTGAACTCGGCATACTCTCTGCTACTGAATTCAAGATACTCTTCTCCACATACAGGCAGGGTATATATAGCTTTATTCTTGCTTTGAGAACAGTCCTGGGGAAAACTAGCAAGAATGTGTTCTAGAATGTTCTCACTCTTTCAATGGCATATTTCCAAGTGGGCAATTTTGTACAAAATCTGGCATCCCTGATCCTATGCGGGAAAGCTTACCTTACCGCCAGCTGGGCATTTCACAACAGTGCTTTATACCAATGCTACAGCAGCACTCAGCCAGACATTGTCCTGGAACAAAAATTAGCACTTGTCGGGGAAATCCACTGTATTCTTTTCCATTGCTCCATGTTTTGTTTTCTAATTAAAAACATTTAAATTAGAAAAATTGTATAAAAGATTTGATAATGTTTTGTGATGTAGATTAGATAAAAGTTTAGGATTCATCTCACTTCTATTTAAAATATTAATAGATAACTTTAAAATTAAAAATGAGTTGGTGTTCAATTTGCAAAAGGTTTTTAATTGGGAAGAAATTTAATATGCATTTTTTAGAGATAGAAATTGAAATGTGATATATTCTTTTATGAAATGCAAGTTATAAAGTATTGTTAATTAATATTTTATTTTCTAATGATAGCTTTAAAATATGCTCTTCATAATATAATTTTTACTTAGTTGTATTAAATTCTTTTATTTGTTAAGTAAAAATATCCTATAACTATACATTAAGTTATGTAAAAAATAAGAGAATTTACACACTTATTAGAAATTCACAAAACATAAAAATTTTTTTGCAGGATTTGATAATTTCTTTATTGAAAAGAAAGTTTTATAATACTGTACAATTAAGATTGAAGTATAAAACAAGATCATAACTATATGATTTAAAAATATCTTTATCATATTAAAAATACCAATTACTAAAATATTAAAACATGTGTTTGAAGAACTTATGAATATACACATAAATTCATAACAAAATATTTTTAAGCAGTCAAATAGCTTAACAAATATTCACACTTTATCTCTAATTATGTAACATGTAATGATTCTATAGCATCGCTTTATATTTATATATGTACATTTAAATAATTTTACAAAATTACTGTAGATAAGGGACTAAGCTGTTTATTTAAATCAGTTATTAAGTCTTTTCTGCAGTTTTGCAATGGTATTCCTCAAACCACCGCGCAGTAACATATCTTCCCCTAATCCTCTATTTTTTTCCAGCACTTCAATTGATTTAGAAAGGAAAGGTACAATGTCAGATATCACTTCAGGTAAAAATTCAGTGATATTGTCCAATACACTAAATCCTCTAGCTGTAGACCATTGAAGCTTTTCGAGAATAAACCACTCAAGAATTGGTATTAATAGGCTTTTGACATAAGTTAAATCCAGGTTTTCTTTGAAGCATGCAAATATTTTTCTCATTAATTTCCACAGATATTCACTTAAAGAATCATTATGTTTCATATAAAGTTCCATTGCATTTTTAAGAATGACAGTAACTATTTCTTTTCTGTGGATGGAAGGAGTAATTTTAAATATTTCATAGCATACTTCAAATCCATTTAAAGTATTTGGTGTCTTTTTTGAAAGTATATATACTCTCATGAGATCTAAAATAAAATGAAATGCATCCAGACTGAGGCCTTCTGGATTTTGCAAAATTGTATTCATACAGAGCTTTGTTATTGGATTATTTATGGCTGGATATAAACCAGTGTAATGAACAAGTAAATCCTTTATTTCTCTTTCAATGCACTTATCATTCCTGTAGTCTAATTTAAAGAGACCTCTGAAATAACTTGGTAAATATTCTTTAATTGAACAAGATAAAATTGACTGAAGGGTTTTATCTTTAGGAAATATTGTGTGTGGAAAAACACTTCTGTCTAGAAGCTGAGCGAGGATACTTTCACCACCAGATGTATGTAAAACAGGAGAACAATATTCAACTAAATGTGATGCAAGTTGATAAATATGATCTAAAACTTGAGTGTTACATTCATGCTTTATTCTTGCAGCAATGCAAGGAACAAAGTTTTTAAAATAATGCTGTACCTTATTCTTCAAAAGACTTTTTTCATGGAAACTTTGACATTTATCATATGTCTCACCAATTGTACGAAAAAATCTGATAGATAGATAAATATGATCGGCTATTCCAAACATTAAATTTTTTGTTAAAGGAAAACAGTTTAAAATTTCATTTTGTTGTAATGTTTTGGTTGTCAATTCTTGCATACTATCACTGGGTGATTGCGTATAAATTACACATTTCAGCCATGACTGAAAAACTATGATATTAAAATCAGGTAATTTTGACTTTAATTCATTTACCAAATTTAAATCATCTAAAATAAAACATAAGTAGCGACACTTTATTGAATTATTTATATTCTCTCTACTTCCAAAACAATAAAAGATGCTGAGAGTATTATGAGAAATACAGTTTGCTAATACTGAAGAATATTTGCACACTGAACTTGTTAATGTGGCAGCAATATCAGCAACAACAGGAGGAGGTGTATTGGTAATAGCTATCTTTTCAATAAATGGGTAAATATTGTTAAAAATAAATTGAAAAAATCCCACATATTGTGCTTCTGTTGTAGTAGACTCCATATTATTATTACCTATAATATTTCTAACTCTTTCAACGATGCTGACAAAAATACCAAGAATATAATTTAATTCACTTATACCACAAGATGATAGAAGTACAGAAAATCCAGAACCAATAAGTTGATATTCAGATAAATTTAAACTACTCTTTTCAAATATATCACTCATATTATCAATATAGACTAGTAATAAATTCATGATGTTTGTTTTATGCATGCTGTCTCTAATTACAGTAGCGTAGTCATCACAAGCAGAATTAAAAAACTGGGCAATTTTTTTAACTGATTCTCCTACATCATAACTTTTTTTTTGACAAATTGTTATTAAAGTAAATAATGCTTTCCATGAAACTGTTTGCTTCCGAGGGTTAGAAGTTGTTTCAACAATTGCAGCTAATTCAGATATTTTAGAAATCACTTCCATTTGCCCAGCTGCAGCCACTGCAAGAAGCAGAGTAAAACTGTTCTGTAATCCAACTTCAGATAAATCTCTTATTTTTTTTGGAAAAAATTTGCTATAGATACGCCCTTTTAAAGAACGCCATAAACTGCTGTCAGGAACATTACTCTTAAGAAGTATGCTTAGTATTTTTAAATACAGGGCATAACTATTTTCATTTCCTGTTGAAGAATTAGCACAGTCAAGATTAATTATAAATTCAAACCAAGAGGATGAACTCTGGAACAAATAGGAAAGATCTTTCACTTCAACTCCAGAAAGACAGAATATTTCATCAAATTTTCTAATATAGAAGTCAGTTAATGGCAACAAGATGTCTCCTGTAGGCTCCCATAATAAAACTAATTTAATACAGTAAGACAGCAAAGAACGTAATGATTTTTCACTGATAGTTGAGCCATTTGAAAGCAAATTCTGCATTATAAACTTGGTTACTATATATCCACTTTTTGGTCTTTTATCTTCACATAATTTTCCATATGCATCATATTTGTAAAGAGATGCAATATAAGTTGTGAGCCATAAGAAAGGCTCTAAAATGTCATCAAAATTAACTTGCTTGCTGTTCAGATAAAATATATCGATTGATAAATTATCATTTGAAGACTCAGTGGAGTTGGTTTTAAACAGTCTTTGAATAGCATTTAAATAAACATTCCAAAATTTATTCCCATCCAGAATTATATAATTTTTATCCAGTATATAAATTAACATGAGCCAGAACTCTTCAACACATTTACACATGAATGGCGAGTTACTGATGCTAGAACTATTTCGGTAAATACTAACAGCTTTGCATAAGAAATCACTCACGATCATCATTGATACTTGAATAAATGGATTTAATTCATCTAGATCATTACAAAATATTTCAGTTTGACTCATTTTCGGCGGGAACACTTCACTGATTAGCAAGAGAATTGCAAGAGTATTCCACCATATATCTAAGCATAAATGAAAATAATGATAATAATAAAAAGCACTTTTACTAATGTCAGAATTAAAATCCCCAATCTGATTTAAATTAGCTATATTGCCTATACGACCAACAAATAACAGTAAGCCTTTAAGTTCTTTCAATAATTTTACAAGAAAGCTTGGTATATGAGAGGATTCTGTCAAGATTTCACGAGTTCCGTTGCAGAATTTTTCATTTAAAAGTTGGATATTTGTTTGTATGTAAATGAGGGACTTGCATACATTTTTTCGTAAGCATTCAATATCCTTAATATTTTGTGAAAAGTTTGAATTTTCTAAGGCCATATCTTTAATTATAAAAAATGTTCTTTTTATTTCTGCAAATATGTGATGCATGTTAACCCACATAGTACACTGAGCTGTAAAGCATTTACCAAACAAAATAACTGTAGTTTCTTTAGGTATGTGTAATTGTTGATTTAAAAGTCTCTGAAAGTAGCCACTGGTTAAGTAACTGTAAGAATTACTTCCTTTGCATGCAAACCATGGTATATTTTCAGGTGAGTATAATGTTTCATAATCAGCATTATAAGTTACTTCAGAAAAATCAGCTAGAGTTCCAGATAAAGTAAATGCCATTTCAAATCCTGTAAAAAAATTAAACTATTAGAAATCATGAAAACTGAAGCTAGTCATAAAGCTGGAAGAACACAGCTTCTGGGGAGAAACACTGTTGTTGCAAAAATGCATAAAAAATTAATAGCCAAATGATTAAAATGTTGAAAACCAATAGTTCAACTTAGGTTCAAATTTTGAGGAGGCTGTCTGCATGAGTGCTTGCATGTTTTTTTCCAGTTGTAATACAGGACAGTTTCCTTCGAGTTCTTCACTAAAGCATCCCTTCCCTTAAGCAAATAGCTAACACATGCTTTGTGTTATTGAATTAAACAAACAAAAAAGTAATAATACATGCATAAAAAACAGGTTGCATTAACAACAGTTTGCAATATTATTTTTTTCATTTTATCCATAATTATTTCATTTCTGTTTTCATTAACATATTCTTTTTTTATGTCGTAAGCATACACATTTTTAAATAAGACTGGATTAAATTTTATGAAATCTGTTTAAATAAGTGTTTATTTTGAAATATATTAGTAATAGTACAGGACTGAAAATATGTTAGTAGTAGCATGAGAAAGCCTCTCGGTTTGCCTACAGTTGTTTCACATCACATGAACTATGCCTTCCTTTCCTCATTAAGTTCACTGATAACTTCTGAATGACACAAAAGAAATCATTCACAGTATTGAACTCAGTTATAGAAAGCTATTTATTTGTGAAAAAAAAAAAAGAGATTGCAAAGACAAAAAAAAAAAAAAAAAAAAAAAAAAAAGAAGACACCAGTGATCATTAATTCTTATTCAACTATTTTTTCCTTACCTTTTTTTGTGAAATTAGAAATATTTGTAGCCTAGATTTAGAATTCTAAATTAAGATTGTTCTACTATTACTATAGGTAATAATGATAAAAATATTACACAAATAGATTTAACTAAATGTCAAAAACTACAGAATAAAATAATACTTATACAGTCAAAAGTCGTTAATCCGGACTCGTCGGGACTTCGGCGATTCTGGATTATCGATTTTTCCGGATTATAGATCATCACTTTAAATCGCGTAAGATGGCATGCAGAAATTCTAAAATTAAAAATATGAAACCGTAATTTATGAAATAAAGAACATTATGATCTAAAGGGTATCAAAATTTACAAAAAAAGCTTAATATTTATTTGTTTACTTTATTAAAACATTTCTTTCAATGTAAGTTGTTTAAGTTGCTTCGTTTTATGTGATAATACTTTCTTTTAATTCTATAAACAGACATTAATTTTTTGTTCACTTACAAAGTTCCGGTGTTCAAGTCCCGTTAATTGCTGTGCCGAGAATACCGACTAACTTGTCAATCGAAATTTTTTCGTTTTCACTAACCTTCTGTCACATTCTTCATGTCTTTATCCATTTTTTGTCAGCAATTCCACTTTTGTTGATGGACATTGAAACATACTTTCGTTTTGTACGATCCTTTGGGAGCTCCAGAATCAAAAATTCTATTTGACATAATCAAAAGTTCAAGTTTACTTTTATAGTATTGCTCTTACAGTGTGCAAAAAATAATAAGCCGGATCCAATTCGAAAATTAAGGAACAACGCAATCATCAACATTAACTGAAATAGATAATTAGATAATTTTAGCTTACACCGTCCGTTATACATAAAACGCGCACGCGAAAACGTATTCTGCGCTTGCGCACACGCAAATGCGCAGTCGTAAGAGGTCTTACGCGCACGCGAAAACGTATTCTGCGCTTGCGCACACGCAAATGCGCAGTCGTAAGAGGTCTTACGCGCACGCGTAAACGCCTATGCGCATGTGTCAACGCGGCGCATGCGCAGAAAGTTTTTAACTTTGAGGTCCGGATTATAGATCATTCCGAATTATGGGCGTCCGAATTAAGGACTTTTGACTGTAGTACAACTGATGGATTTAAGTGTAAAGTTTTAAACAGTTTGATTTCTGTATTTATAAGCTTATATTTAAAATAAATAAAATGGTTTTTTTTTTTTTTTTTCCCAGTCAGCTTAAGCAGATCTAGAAACAGCATAAAGAGAATGTATAAATAACTTAAAAGTAAAAGAAACTATATTTGTATTTCTTTAGAGATGAAAGAATGAAATAGGATCTTTTATTGTATAATAAAATGTATACACAAGGAATACATTAAATAGTGCCTATAAAATGCACAAAACTTGTTATTGAGCCATTTCTGAAATCAACCATATTTCTCAGGTTATAGACAAATATCTATTTTACACTGTTTAAGATCAGTACTACACAAAAGCAAAATTGCCTGGAATGTGAGATTTCATATAGAAAATGTCACTGTATGTAATATGACTGTGTTTGCAAAGACATAAAGATTTGAAATACATGATAAAGACTTAAAACAATTATCACATAAATCCTGTTGTGCATATTAATCATTCTATATATAAAAAAAAATGCAAATTGCACAGAAAATACTTTTGCAGTAACACAATGATTCTCAGCTATTTTAATATATTTAATTGAACACTGAAATTAGTGAAGGCTCTTTAAATGCCAATAACTGCTGTAAATGACTGCTAATGAAATTTGGTTATAAATTTGCCAATGAAAAGAAAAAATTAAGAAAACTGAGCTGACTTATGAAGAAGTTAAATCAGCTGAAAACTGTTTGCTAAAATTAATTTAGCAGGAAAGTTGCCTGAAGAAAAATGAAAATCTTGAAAAACATGGAAATATGTCATTGTTCGACTTAGAACAAAGCTTTTCTTGCGAGATGAAGAAGAAAATTTCAAGTGCCCCATATTGTTGCCCGGAAGCCATAAGATTATTTATTGACTGGTAAAGCAAAAGCATTGTAAACTACAACATGCAGGACTTCGAGCTCTGATTGCCAATTTGAGAGAAAATTACTGGATTATTTCGATCAATAAATTAGCAAAACAAATTAGCTCTAGGTATTTCATGTAAAAGATTCAAAGCCAAACCTACAAAACCACCTTTTGCACCTTTTCATAGGGACAGAATAAAGGCTGCTGCAGTTTTCGAAGGTTCAGGGATTGATCTCGCAGGTTCTGGTGAAAAGACATGGGTTGTACTTTTTACCTGTGCCATTTATAGGGCTGTTCATCTTGAATTAGTCTGTATACAGAAGTTTTTATTTTGGTTTTAGAAGATTCTTTTCTCAAAGAGGTGTGTAAATATAATCTACACTGACAATGATACAAACTTCATTGACAATGCTTGAAGAAATTTGGATTGGGAGAAGGTCATGTCATTTTTCACTATCAAGAAAATCAAATGGAATTTCAACCCTCCAACAGCCGCCTGGTGAGGAGGATGGTGGGAGCGCATGATTAGCATGTTGAAAGAGATGCTAAGAAGAATTTTAGGCAGGAAAAGTCTTGACTATGAACAGTTGGAAACTATGTTTGAGAAGCTACAATAAACTCTAGGCCACTTACATACACTGAAGTGACAAAAGTCATGGGATAGCAATATACAAATATACAGATGGCAGTAGTATCGCGTAGAAAACGTATAAATGCGAAGTGCTTTGGCAGGGCTTTCATTTGTGTTCAAGTTATTCATGTGAAGAGGCTTTGACATGATTATGGCCGCACGACGAGAATTAACAGACTTTGAACGCGGAATGGTAGTTGGAGCTAGACGCATGGGTCATTTCATTTCGGATATCGTTAGGGAATTCAACATTCCGAGATCCAGTGTCAACAGTGTGCCGAGAGTATCTAATTTCAGGCATAACATCCCACCACGGGCAGCGCAGTGGCCGACCACCTGCACTTAACGACCGAGACCAGCGACATCTGCGTAGAGTTGTCAATGTTCACAGACAAGCAACACTGCGTCAAATAACCGCAGAAATCAATGTGGGACGTGTCTGATAGGACAGTGTGGTGAAATTTGTCTTCCTTGGGCTATGCCAGCAGAATACCGACTCGAGTGCCTTTACTGACAGCACGACATCGCCTGCAGTGACTCTCGTGGGCTCGTGAGCATAGGTTGGTCCCTAAACGAATGGAAAACCGTGGCTTGGTCAGATGAGTCCCGATTTCAGTTGGTAAGAGTTGATAGTAGGGTTCGAGTGTGCCGCAGACCCCACGAAGCCATGGACTCAAGTTGGCAACAAGGCACTGTTCAAGCTGGTGGTGATACCATAATGGTCTGGGCTGTTTTTACATGGCATGGACCTTTGTGCCTTTGGTGCAACTGAACCGATCATTGACTGGAAATGGATACCTTCAGCTACTTGGAGATCACTTACAGCCATTCATGGACTTCACATACTCAAACAACGATGCGATTTTTATGGATGACAATGCGCCATGTCACCGGGCCACAGTTGTTCGCGATTGGTTAGAAGAACATTCTGGACAATTCCAGTGAATGATCTGGCCACCTAGATCGCTCGACATAAATCCCATAGAACATTTATGGACATCATCGAGAGGTCAGTTCGTGCCCAAAACCCTGCACCGTCAACACTTTCACAGTTATGGACATCTATAGAATCAGCATGGCTCAATATTCCTGCAGGGGACTTCCAATGACTTGTTGAGTCCATGCCACGTCGAGTTGCTGCACTTAACCGGACAAAAGGAGGACCGACAAAAAATTAGGAAGTATCCCATGACTTTTGTCACTTCAGTGTATACTGAAGACAATTCGGAAGGTCTGAAGCCATTAACTCCTGCTTGCTTCTTTCTTACAAAGTATTCTTAGCAGTGAAACAACTGGTTTACATGAAATTGACAGTAAAAGCCTAAATATAAGATTGTATTTTGCACAAAAATTAAGGCGGGATTTAAGAATAAGATTTCGGAATAAGTATTTAGCAACGTCGCTTCATAAAGCTAAGAGCCGGAAAGCTTGCATGTTTTTTTCCAGTTGTAATACAGGACAGTTTCCTTCGAGTTCTTCACTAAAGCATCCCTTCCCTTAAGCAAATAGCTAACACATGCTTTGTGTTATTGAATTAAACAAACAAAAAGTAATAATACATTGCATAAAAACAGG